TTTGCATGTTGCTTTCCACATGCTTGCGGCATCCGAAACAGTGACCTGACACAACATTGATAACCATTCTCAAGCCAAAATTATTCATTTCAGCCGGATGATATCAATTCACAAATCTCGTTAGATCGAACGCGACTCGTATTGATGAATGTTCAAAAATCAGATGAAGCCACATTCACATGCGTTGCAAAAAACAGTGCTGGACAAGCGGCCAGAGAATTCCAAGTTAACGTTCTCGGTCAGGACAGTCATGATTTTCATTGCCAATTATAATAGGACAGTTTCGGTATTCAGTCTTTTATCTCGATTGCTATGAAATCACACAGTAACTTTGGATCATTTGTGGTCCTTGGATTATTATCGAGAGGATAAAATTCCGCTTCTGAGGTAAAGGAAAATAATTATGCAAAAATTCAGTGCCACCAAGAATAGTTGGTAAAATGGTGGAGGACATGGTTGTTGTCGAAGGAGAATCCTTGGAATTAGAATGCGACTTCGATGCAGATCCAATTCCTGAAATATTTTGGGTGAAGGACACCGCACCACTCAGTCGAAAAGTTCAAGTAAAGCGCTCTTCTTGAATTCTTGTTCAACTTCAAATCTAGTAATGAGCCATGAAACAATAGCGATTTCCCTTTGAATCACTTATGCCATTCAGAATGTATTCTACCGAAAGCTTCATTTTGTATCAGGAAAACTCCATTTCGCTTTTCCATTAGTAATGTTCATGAAAATTTTTCCTCATTCACTGAACGAGATATGCTGATGGATTTCTGAATTCACTGANCACCAGCAAGTGCAGAGGATGCGGGTGCCTATCGTTGTACAGTGCGCAATAAGGCCGGTCAAGCTGAAAAAACCTTTAACGTCAGAGTCATTCTGAAACCTGGTTAATTTTCACTTTGAATTGCTCACTTTTTTGAGATCCAACAAATAATTCACTTTTGTTGACTGAATTTCATAAAAATCGGAGAGTGCTAAAGCGTATGACTAAAATTCCAGCTTCATTCTCTAGAAATCATTGAATCATAATTCGAAGAGCGGCAGTCGTTACCATGGTAAAAGTCGATGTTCAAAATTTGTGATTCAGAATGTTCAGCGACATATTGTGATTGCTGCTAAATAAGAACTGTTGCTTGATGGCGAAGTGCATCCATTCCACCATTTCCATATGTTTTCAGCTAATTCAAGATTCCTAAGGAATATCATAAGACTGCACAGAATTTCAATGATATTGAGAAACGTTATTAGACCTTGCCATGGACAAAATCGTCTGTTTATTTCGATTCATTTTTGGCACTTCCTTCACCACTTCCATGCGATTGCTCTTCCCCCATCGTTGCTACTTTACTCCCGTCACATTTTNGGCACTTCCTTCACCACTTCCATGCGATTGCTCTTCCCCCATCGTTGCTACTTTACTCCCGTCACATTTTATCGCTTGTTTACGAATCCGAGTCAAGGTATCGTGCGATTTCAAAGATAAAACCATGGTACTTTCAGATCGGATGCACTCCGTATTGCGTCTTTCTGTTCATCGAAAAAACCTTCGTCACATTTTCTTATTCAGTGAGGCTGAAAATGAAATTTTGACCACTGAATTATCGATACACCAATTTAAAACGCTTTTTCCTTTTGCCATTTACCATTCTGTTGATCAATTCGCCGGAAGTACTTGATAAACCATTTAAGTGCCAACTTGATATTGATAGATCCAGTTTTGTTTTCTACGTTCATGGTTCTCTCACTTCACGCACATCACGCAAAACTGCTTCGCTATTTCTCACCATAAAAACGCTTATATAATTCCTTTAAGTAATCCAACCGCAGACGTTCTTAACAAGCTCTCTTTAAGAGCTCATCGGAAGTGGTGAAACAAGCAATGT